TCCAGGGATCTGATGCCCTTTTCTGACCTCTTCAGGCATATACGGTACATACAGACACCAATGCAAGCAAAATACTAATAAAACAAAATAAATAAATCTAAAAAATAATTTAAAAATGAAATGCTGAATAGAAGTCAGGATGGAGAAGGTACGGCTCTAATTGTGAATATATAAATGTGTGTTTTGTTTTGTTGCATTTTTGTTCCTTTCTGGTTATAGAAGAACCAGAGAATGGAAAATTGGGAAAGGACAATAAGTACTGGCTTGGGTTGATGGGAGGATAGTCCCACCTACCTTTTGAAAGGGCTTAGAGACCACTGAAACTTGCTCTGTCTATCCCTACGAAAGTCTTTGAAACTCATGTTTCTTATTGTTATTACAGCATGCCAAGTCATTACTGTCTTCTTGCTAAGATTTATTCATTCTCTAAATAAATACTATGCTTTAGCTATATGCAATATCTATTTTTAATATATATTTTTATGTTTAAATTTTATGTAAAGAGACTTTGGATGCTTAAGCTATGGATAAAGTAAAAGAATCAGTTTTGTTCATGGATTTCTTACCCATTACTCTTACTCTAATTTTGGTGCCATGATGAACCCTAGTGTCTCATGGATGCTGACTATGTTCTCTACCAGTGATATATACCTTCAGCCCTATAATTACTATTTTAATGAAAGTCAAGCACTTAAAAAATAAAAATGTTGAAAATTACATTGTTATTTGGTAATGCAATCTTTTTGTTTTCATTTTGTTTTTCTTTATTTAATCACTTTACAGCCTGATCCCAGTCCCCTCCCTCCTTTCCTCCCAGTTCCACCTTCACACCCCTCCCCTTTATTAAGCTTTCCTGTTACATTTTTTCTTCTGCTATTCTGTTCCCTCTCCAACATTCTCTTCAGTGATGAAGCTAACTGTACAGTTATAGTTTACATTTCCAGGGTTGAAAAAAAAAAAAAAAGCATGTCCTTGTGCAATGCCCATACTGTCCACTAGAGGGTATTCAACTGGCCATTTTAAGAGTTGGTCTCAGAAATAAAGGATTCATGGAAACACACTGAAGTTATTTCCAAGGCAATTCATCTTTACTCTTCAGAGATTTTAACAAGGGACTACGACTTCTCACAGTCTCCTGGCAATGCTTCACAGGGGTTGCCTAAGACCACCAGAAAGCACAGATATTTACACTACAATTCATAATGTAGCAAAACTAGTTATGAAGTAGCAATGGAAATAACTTTATGGTTAAAGGTCATTATAATACTGTGGAACTATATTAGAGCATCACAGCATTAGGAAGGTTGACAACCACTAGGGTTTATAACTATATGGAATAGATAGTAATTTGCTTGTCTTACAGTTATGGCAATGATTTCAATAATTTATCTAGGTTATGGGCTACAAGATGCTGAGAGACTTGAAGGCACGCTCCTAACTAATATAAGGAAGGAGGAGGCAGAGAATCTAGTCTCAAAAAGAAGCCTCTACACTCCTAAGATTTTTGGTTCAGATGTAATACCATATACAGTGAAGGCTTAAAGAGGGTCTGTGGACAGGGTGGCACAATGGAATACAGCAGCAGTAAGAAGCAGCATGACAGTGATTATGAATAATCTACAAGCCCTCTCCAAAGAGGTGATGTGTATTCATTCCTTCACCAGTTATCTGACTCTGTGTGTTTCCATCTGACTATCTGTGAGTGGAAACTACTATACCTCAGAAGGCTATACAGGGGATTGTGGTTGGTTTTAAAATGATGAGAGTATTACCTGCAACACAGTGCCATGCCAGCGCAGGGAGCACAATGTTGTGACAGTAGAAGCTAAAGAAAGCCAACAAAAGTTTGGAGATGATGGCTACTGCAACATGACAGAGAGATGAGGTAAAGTTAACAGTAGTGACAGAGTTTATAGTGTATCCAAATAAAAAACATTCTTAGAGGGGGCTGGAGAGATGGCTCAGCGGTTAAGAGCACTGATTGCTCCTTCAGAGGGCCTGGGTTCAATTCCCAGCACCCACATGGCAGCTCACAACTGTCTGTAACTCCAAGATCTGACGCTTCACAAAGGCATACATGCAAGCTAACCACCAATGCACATAAAAATAAATTAAAGTAAAAAAAAAAAAATTCCTAGAGAGAAGCAACAGCCTCTGGGGAGGGTGCTAGGGAAGAGAGTGATTTGTGGTAATACACAGATACAGATTTGCCAAGACTGTGCAGTGTGCATCGGAACTACAACTTCAGGGATCCCAGGGGTCAACCCCTCGCTCCTCAAGTCACAGAACACAATGAAAACTGTTGTGCTTGCACTCATGGGTGTGGTGTACGAGAGCAAAAGCACTCAAACTCAAATATGTCGTGGGAAGAGACAACTTATTGTTGGCTCCAGTAGAAACATGGAGCAGCATGGGGTAATATTGCCAGCTAAGGATGCTTACAAAATCTAGCTTTTTTGAAGAGTCTGTCATGAAGTTAACTGACTGTCCATCCATACAGGCAACTTTAACTAGACATCAACCCCTCTGGAAGTTGTTCCCTTAGATTAGCAGGTGTGGCACAACTCCCCAGATAAAGACCTGACTCTTATCTGGGCATTATCAGTACATTTCAAGGACTCAGAGATCACCTCTAGGGAGCTGAGGGAAAATCCCAGACTTGCTTCCCAGTAAATACAATTTCTTTATAGCAAAGATAATAAAGGTACAATGAAGTAAAGACACAAGATTCACAGTGATCCCTCCAAGAGAACCTAAGTAAATCCTCAGAGTAACACGGGTTTAGAAGATAGTAACAGCAAGCATGCACATATGTAGAAAGGGAGAACTAAGAGTGATTGCTAGAAGACAAAAGTAATGCACTCAATCTGGAAAAGAACTGCATAGTATAAGATGACATCATATAGATGCAAGTGGAAAATTCTGCTACAGACTTCCCTGAAGGGAACAAGCTGGAAGCAAACACAGCAAAAGGTGAAGTTTGGAAACCTTGAAACCAAGTCTTCCCTACTGCTACAGATATCTGAGAAATGTGAATTACTTTCTAGATGAGAGGAAAGGAGAACAATGCTGAAAGTAAAAATACTTAAACAAAGTACAACGTAACTGTTTGCAAATAGCTCTAAAACATGTATTTCTGTTCTTATTTCCCTAGGCTACCTTCCAAGGTCAGCCTTTCTAAGAAAGCTTTTATTTTGCCTATGGCAAATTTAGTACATGTTTATGCAAAACTTAAATTACCATGAAATCCTACCAAAAAGGTAGATGGAGCAGAAGGCACAGCTAATTAAATGGCTTTGAGGTTCACTGCTCGTTTTGTTCAGGGTCAAATAGAAATTTATCAGTCTTTCTGGGTATATGGAGTAGAAAATCAACTCATTACAGGTTATGAATAGCCAGGTTACTAAAAGGTCTCCAGACAAAATACTTCTTGCAAAGCTTTTGTTTTAAATAACCCAAGTATGCTAATTATATCCCAGGTATGAGACATAGTACTGTCAGTAGTGGGAGATCTGGACTCAGACACACTGGGCAAAAGTCCCAACTCTACTTACTAATCAGCTAAATAAATTTAGGCAAATTACTTTAACAGTATGCTATAGTCTCAGACAGGAAACAAAGCACTTAAAGTAGGTATTGTTTGCACACAATATTCATGCAAAGTGTGAGTTCTTTAGGTAGTTCATATGAATAGCTTTTCATACTAAAAGCCTCATGAATTCATTATATACTTCACTATTCACTTTTTGATAGAAGACTCATTATGAAGTGTAGCAATTGTCCAAATAACAGTTGCATTTTCATATCATAATATTTGTTTACTAGATATCTTAATGTCCTAAAATCACCTTTGAACAACTTCCTATTTTATTATCTTTATTAGTAGGATTTAATCTTTGGTCCAAATATGCTTAAAGTTATTCTAAGAAGAACTACCTATAGAGTTAATTTCAGAGATTGTATAAAACAATCATTTGAGAGATTACTGATCGAGTTAAGTTTCAGACTATCTACAGTCATATTACTTTTCCTTTCTGCTGTGCAAAATAGACTGAGCAATGTTCACTCATTCCTGAATGTCTGGTTCCTTTTGCCAAGCTAATTCTAAAGGCACCAGAGGCTTTCACTGGCACCCACACACTTCAACAAATAAAATATCCTATTGTTGCATGTTTCTGGAACGTTCACCAAGTTCCTTCCATTTACTTCTCCCATGAACAGACTGTATATAAAAAGGATCATAGTGTTCTTTGTATCATTTATACAGATCAGGCACTTCATACAAAATCCTATTTACTACCATTTCAATCAATGCAAAAACTCACAAAGAAAGAAAGAAAGATAGATATTTGGCACTTTAAAACAAAACCTGATTTTGTTTTTTTATGGAGTATGAGCATGGAGGTCAGCCAACAACCCACAGTCCTCACCCTGGGGACTTAATAATGTTCCCTTAATGTCAAGTGCCTTCTCTTCTCACCAATTCAACCTCAACACCACGAAGGCCCCTTTGCTACTTTTTTGCATTATATGCTTATTTTTAAAAAGACATTTAGATACGTCTGTCCATGTGCACGTGTCTTAAATACAGACCTAATGGTGATGGTGAGTATGACTGCTAAGATAGAGCACTGGCTTGAAGGATTTATTTTCTTAAGTTCAGAAGGTGCAAGTTCTTCAAAGTTGGGATTTTTATTATAGCATTGTTTTAAGATGTAGTGCATTCCTACTTTACAGATAAAAGCAACTGCTTGAGAGGGGGGCCATTCATTTTTACTATCCCTGTAACATTTTCATTTTTTTTTAACCATTTATGCCTCATTTCTACAGCTCAAGAAGGAGAGGGCAGCTAGGGAATCCCTTCACCTTTATTCTTAATGTACCCTTCCTCCCAAAATGAATACTAAATCTTTCCCTTCACTGTGTTGCTCTCATCAGTATATACTATTATATACTTCCACCGTCCTGTCATAAAATATCAACAGATGAGTTATACTAACCTTATTGTATTCCAGGAATCCCCAAGTTCTTTGGAATACTGTTTGTCAAACTGATCCAACACAACTCTGCATATCTGTTTTGCAAGCTTTCTCTCTGATTTTGCTTTCAGCTATGACAATAAGAAAAAGTTGCTGAAGACACACTGTAATGTCACAAATTTATTGAAATCTGACATTAACTGGACCTTAAATTGTTTGTATTTATTCGTTGAGAATCTCATACATGTACACAACTTATTCTGAAAATAAAAAAGGACCCAAACTATTCCAACTCCACCCAGACTCCCCAGGTAAGTTCCCCTCAAAAGAAACTTCAGTGTCCTTTTTAAAGATCCGCTCAGTTCAATTAGTGCGATCATTACAAGGTGTGGAGCCACACCCAGAATAAAACTCCTGCAGCCACAGGCAGCTACTGCCAATAGCCTCAGCAGCGAACGGGGCTGCTGGCTAGTTCTTGCCATGGGATCAACACCTCACTTGTAACAAAATCATAGTTTTGATATTCTACGTACTTATGAAAATGACGTTTCTCAAAGTGGTAATTACACAAATGTAAGGCACAGGTGACTCCTAAGGAAATTTCAGAAGGCATGAGAGGGTTTTCGTTTTGTTTGTTTTTTTAAACAAACATTGTGGAACTAGGTCACCACCGCGACCTTTCCGTAAACGTAAGGTTGCTTCAACATAAAGTTTATTTACGAAAATACGCGCTGCCCTAAGTTTCTGGAGCGCCCCTAGTCACCCAAGTGCACCGCAGGCCCAGAAAGTATTAATGGCACCGGCATCCCAGCGCCGACCCCAGGCTCGATCCTCCAGCGGGCGCGGGTGGACAGAACCCACAAGGAACACGTTCAGCCTCGTTCCAGGCTTTGGGCAGTGCGGCTCCCATCCCAGTCCGCCCTGTCCCTCCGCGGCTTCCGTCCCAGGCGCTGGACCGCCAAGGGCCTCACCCGAGTCAGCATGGTCCCGCCTAAGCTCGCGAACTACGGTTCTTTCAGAATTCGCGGAAACCCACAGACAGGCTGCACTTCCGGGCTCCACTCGGAGAGCTCGGGTTGCCTCACAGTACCTCCTCCCGTTCTCGCGAGACTGTGGCTCCGCGAAGGCGCTGCGCGTTCTTTCCTCGGGCAAAGGAGCGGGTCTGAGCGATCCTTTCTAAAGTTACCCTTCTCATCTGTGCCTACGGGGTCGGGACAAGACCTGTGTCATCCTTAGGCTGTCACAGTGTTTTAGTACCAGAGGCACAGCTAATTTACAAGTCTGAGCCCCTCATTGAGAAAAGCGACCGAAAGATTAAATCGTGGCTTCCCTTAGGCGTGCCTGACGTAAGGTACTCCTAGAAGGGCAAGTGGTAACTAGTACATCGAAATGCCGAGCAGAGCTCTCGACATAGGACGGAAGCTGGCTGTTAGTATGTAACTAACCTGACAGGCAGGAAAGCTGTTCGTATGTTTTGTAACCAGCCTGACTGGCGTGAAGATATTCTTGAGACGATCACCTTGTCAGCCTGTTGAACCCATGCTTCTTCGTTCCTCCCCTTCCCCCGAAAAAAAAAAGTGGAATTTCCCCTGTGAGAAGGCAAGTAGGGTAGTCAGAGGGGGAACTTACCTTCTGGAAAGATGTTTCCAACATTTCTAACATGTCAGATCGTCTTCTAATAGGATGGGATTGAAACCAATGATGCTCTACTAGTCCCAGGGACCATGGCTCTCTCATTAGAACCCCAAAGAAAGATATAGGGGGTCTTTGGCTGGATCTTTTTGTTCCTTTTCCCAGGGTGCTTACAAGGAATAAATGTCCTTGTTCTGCTTTCCACTTTCAATTTTGTTTTTAAAATAGTCTTATTGAGGATAGGTGGCAGGACTTGATTTAAGACTGTTACATCATTCATACATGAATAATGACTGTTATCACCAAGTTCGAGATCATACTCCTGGGACCAGGAAGAACACACCAAACCTCCAGCCCACTACAGCAAGTAACAGTGTTGATGGTGTTAAGAATAACGGTTCGTCGGCAAACAGATAGGATGCAGGAGCGGACTTAGGCCCTCTGCATAACAGTTGTACAGCTGGGTCTTCATGTAGGACTTCTAAAGCAGGAGCAGGGCTGTCTCTGACTACATGGCCTGCCTTTGGATTCTTTTCTCCTAACTGGGCTGCATTATCTAGCCTCAATAAAAAAAATAAATAAATAATAAATAAATGCACTTAGTCTTACTACTACTTGATATTTGCTAAGGCTGGTTGATATCCATGGGAGGCCTTCCTTTTCTGAGAAGGGAAGTGGGGGTGAATGTGTCAGGAAGAGAAGACAGTACTGGGAGAAGAGGATGGGAGGGAAGCTGAGATCTGGATGTAAAGTAAATAAATAATATAATTTTAAAAAAAAGAATAACCATTCATTAGTATTCATTGTGTTCCCTGGTAAAACACCTGCAATTTCTCAATAAAGATGATTTGGTCTATATTAACTAGGTATCATCATTTTCAGATTGCAGTAGATGCTCAAAATGTCAGTAGATGTAAGTGCAGTAAATTGGTGCTGGTCTCTTAACCCTATGCAAAGAAATGCCCTCACCACTAATGAAATTTAATGCTTAGCATGTTTATTTAGGGAAATTCCTCAGTAATCTAAAACGTGTCTTGTTAGTCCTCTGATTCAATGCAAAATAAAATATTTGGTGTGAAAATGATTACATGAATACCACCTTTGTATATTTGGGAAAAAGTAATTCATCTATCTTTTAGAGGTTATATGTAGAGATATTTCTTGTGTTTCTTGTGTTTTCTGTGTTCCTTATAAAATGTCTCAACTGCTGAATTAATATATTAGTTTTATATTTGCAAAGTAGATCGAGGAAATGGGAGGTAGACTCATTAGGATGTTAAAAACTTAGAAAGGTCAGATCTCTTAGTAGACTTGTTTTGAACTACCGAAGACATAAACAGAACCAACACTAAATATTAGGATGTTCATGTCTTGTTAATATTGTATAGTATTTCCTGTAGCTCAGATTAGCCTAGAAGTCACCATAGTGAAGGATGACCCACACTGATACAAAAAGATACATTATACCAAAATGTATCTTTCAATGATAGTGTAAAGGACTTAGTAAGTTAAAAGACTAATAACTTAGCTGTAGGTAAAAAATTTTAATCTAAGCCTTTTTAAATTATTAAATCATTTGATGCAAAGTTTTGGATATATTTTATAGTCTAGTTCTTATTCTAACAATTTTATATTTATATAAACCATGTCTCAAACTCTTGTTTATGTTGCCAAAAAGGTAAAGACCCACTGGGTAGTAAAACCAGTTGGACATTGTGAGAACTCTTTGTTCCTTAAAACAAATGGAAGAAAAACATAGAGGTACTTGCAATCAAAGCTAGAGAACACAGTTCAGGCAATCACAGACTTTCATTTCAGGTGAGACTTCTATCAGTTTAGGGGCCCCCAGGTATTGTATAGAAACCCAAGCAGACAAGCCACTGCTGGAACATGTAAATATGATCTCTATTTTGTTCTCAGCTTTTAATGTTGAAGTTTTAATCCTCTGTATCTTAGGTTGGGACTGCCTTTAAAAGGGAGTGATCAGGTTAAAATAATGCTGTGAGATGTGAGCCCTACTCCAGTGTAACTAACAGTGTTTGAAATGGACATACCGAGACATACTAGGAGCAACAGAGTAGTGAAACAGTAAACTGGCAGTAAAGTAAGAAGCTTTGGAATCTTGCTGGCACTTTAGCCTTATGCTTCCAGCCTTGAGAATTGGAAGAAAACAGCTGTCTGTCCACTAAGATGCTGGTGCTTACTTATGCTAACCCTAGCCAGCTAACAGTAACAGGTACAGGAGAATATACAAATGTTCTCTAATAAAACAAAAATTTGGAGCTCAGTCACTAACTCACCTGTGTCATAGTTTCCTCATCATCAGTACATAAAAGGAATTTACAACTGATGATTTATATCCTACTTACCCTTTAATTACAAAGCTGACCCACTAATTAACGAAAATCCCATTTCTCCTTTCCTACCTTTTTTTTTTTTTTCTGAAAAATAAGCTTCTACAGCTCTGTTTCTACAAAACAACAATATTTTTACTATTTTCATCTTCTCTACCATACTTTTAAGATCTGGATTTGTTCTGTGGATCTGATAATACGTGTACTTCTCAATAGATGAGTATCAGCAAACCCTCGCTTATACAGTATCCTCTATTCAGACAAAAACATTAAAAGCCAAGGATAATAAGATGTATAAGCTATAGCTGTATTTACACAAGCAGTTTCAACTCTTAAAAAGATAATACCCAGAAGCATGGGTTTGTTTACTTTGGATGGGAGGAAATGAATGCCCTGTGTAAAATGGCACACAACTCTGAGCATCAAATTAAAATATTTTTTTAATTATTCGTATGTGTGTGTGTGTGTATGTGTGTGTGTGTGTGCATGACAGTGCAGAAGCTCTCAGAAGCTTAAGATCCACAGCCAGTTGAGCTGTCTGACACTGGATTCTGGGACCAGAACATAGGTTTTCTGTAAGACCAGCACATGTTCTTTACCTCTGAGCCACCACTCAGACCCCAAAATATTTTCATAGTTTGAGACCAGTGTTTTCTATAAATGAACTTTCCTAGACTATACAGAGTAAATTCTAAACTCAGTAAAATAGCATTTAATTTTCTGCTCAAAAAAACGTGGCTTGGGGCTGGAGAGACCTGCTCTTGCATCATTTCCGGGTTGGGTGCAAGTGCTCGCAGCAGCTCAAGACCATCTGTAATTCTAATTCCAAGGGGTCTGGGGGTGAAGAAAAAGAAAGAAAACACCACTTAAATAATTCATAAAAATTATAAATTTGCTTCCCTCAGTATAAAAAAGTAGTGAAGTTCAGTTAGCACTGTTGAAAGCTCAGTTAGTACTTCATTACATACAATATCATATATGTAATATATACATATGGATTACCCAGTAGGAGTACATGAAATTTTCTTGTAAATAAGTTACAATCTATCTTTTGGGCAGTAGGGTTGACAAAACATTGAGAGCAGTAACATTAAAAAGAAATCAATGTGGAGGAGGGGCAAGATGGCGGCGCCGGGAGGACTCTCATTCTGAGGAGCAGCACAGCAGGATTGGCACAGTGACCAGCAATCAGAACTCGCAGCCATAAAACACAAGTGATTGTGTTTCACAGGTGAGAGGATACCCCACGGTGGGGGATTCCATCAGCTTTAACTCACCCGGCTAAACCGCGGAAGAGATCCTGGTTCCGCCAGGCGCTTGGTCGCCAGCCCAGAGCTACCCGCCAGCCCAAACTGGTCACGGTCCCAGACTGAACTGTGGGCCCACAACACCATAGACTGGATTTCCCAGTCGAGAGATAACCCCACGGAGCAGGAAACAATTGGGACCAACCTCAGGTTACCCAGACATCCCCTGGAAAAGACTCGGGTTCCGCGGGTACCCCAGGAGCCAGTCCGGACCCAGAGCCGGGACACAGGCCCCTGCCTGTGCGCCTGATTCGCCACCTCAGATAGAACTGTGGACACCAGGGCACCAGGGCACCAGACTGCGTGTCTCTGGCAGGAGGAAACCCCCAGCGGAGGGGGTCAGCAGCTCTAACACTTAGGACACCCAGCACCAAAACACTTCCTGGACTAACGCAGATTCTAGTGCAGGCAGGAGCTCTGTGCTCTGCTGCCATTATTGAGTTCCCCTAGGGCACTGGGACACACAGCTGCATCCTCAGACCTACAAAAGCCAGAGAGCCATTACAACAGCCCTCAAATACTGTGCCAAGGATCAACCAGATATTCCTAGCTAGACTGTCAAAACTGTGGGAATCCCTGGTTTTTCAAGAGGGCTGCACCCACAGCGTCTGGACCAGAGCAGTGCCTACAGCCGCCATCCCAGACAGAGACACACAGCTTCTGGTCCAGAGTGAGGCACCCAGCCTCCAGACCAGAACAGTGCCCCCAGGCGACAACTCAACCTACGTGCACATTCTCCAGGTC